ATGGTCAGTTGGGGACTCAGACCATTTCTCCACACTGGCATACCATCCCTTTAGGACAGGGGTGGAAACCTTGGACTGTACCTACCATCATCCATGGCAACTGAGGATGATGGGGCTTGGAGTTTCACATCATCCCCCACCCCTTGATGTTGAGATAAAATACCGTGAAAAGATGCAGCAAGTTTTGAGTAAGGACAGTCTATTGACATGAGGCAGTGTGGCTGGAGCATCTTTATTTTATCCTGCAAAAATTACAGGAAATAATCCCACCTAGTAATGTAGTCAAGCTGTTCTACGCTCAGGTGATCTGAGCCATCACTGGTATTAATTCACAAACCTTGAGCATCTCCTTAGCGTAAAGTGTGGTTCTCTTCTGCATGGATAGGCACCTCTCAAGGGTACTCTTTTTACTACAGCCTTTATGATTTTATATTGCTTCATAGCACTCCAACATGCACCAAGGAGGGGGGAGGGTTGATGAGCAAGGCTTCATCTGGCCTTGCAAAAACTGAGCCTTATTTAGAAATATATTTAGCTTATAGAAGGCATTAAAGTCAAAAGGGGGGAAAAATCCCAGAGCGTGGAATTTGATAGTCTCATTAATCAGGAAGCAAAAATTCCTTGAAAGGGATGGAAGGAAGGAAAAGAACAACAATGCAAAACCTATAAATCAGATTTATATTTCCTGTTTGAAGGCCTTTCCATGTTTTTGTTGTTGTTTTGTTTGTAGTTGGACACAGAAACCTTGGAAAATGGACAGCATTTAAAAATTGGGTTGACGGACCTATTTGGCTAGAAATGTTCCGGTAGTCCAAAAACACATTGCCTCTTGCCCTTTGTCCTCTCTCTGGAAAATGGGAACATCACCGGCCCTACCTCAGTGGGTCACTGTCAAGATGAACATCTGGGCTGTATCTTTATTTCCCCCATACATTTATATCCCCCTTCCCTCAAGAAAGTTACTCCAAGCACCTAACGGAGCATAAAAAACTAACACAAATACACGCAAAACAATAAATCACAATTAAACAAGATTATCAGACTAAGTATCAAGAGAAAAAACACATGCTCACAAAGAACAAATATAATCGGTAGGTTAAATTAAGCAGCAACACAATCAAATGCCTATTTTAGAAAGAATATATTCAGTCTTCAGCGGAACACGTGTAGTTAGCCTTTTGGTGCACAGGAATTCCATGGATGAGGCCCTGATGCACCGAAAGGTCTCCTCCATGGTGCTGTAGGGTTCCTTGTGGGGTTACTCTGCCCCACAAGGCAAGGACCCATGCAAGAGGTCAGCCACTGCTCAATGTAAGGGATGGACAGAATCCTGTTCTTGTTCCCAGAACAGTCTCGCCAATTTGGTTTGGTACCAAAGGATAACTTAGTGCATCCAAAGTGATGCAGATGTTAAAGGGAACAAAGAGGAGATATGCAGCACAATGGAGCATGTCCTCTACTCCTGAACAAGAATGCTTCCCGACCAAGACTTCCACCGATGTGGGATGGACAGCGTTGCTTGGAGCAGCCCGGGGGAAACTTCTGTAAGAACGGAGGAAGAGGCAAGCCGAATCAGACCTTTGGCCCTTCTGATTGTAGGTTCAGCCACGCCACCACCAACTTAACATCCGTCTACTTCCCGGGCTGTTCCAACTGTGCGATGCCCATTGGCTGCCGCAGGGGCTTCTTTGACCCTGGCTGGGCACCCGGACGAGGCTTGCCATGCCAGGAACTTGACCAAAAGGATGGTGAATGCGCAGAAGCTCAGACAAAAGAAGTGGTCCAGGTGCCACCCCCCACCAGTGCTGGCCTCTGCCTGTGGCGGCACCTGTGCTGAAGCCATCTTGGCCCGGCCCGGCAATGGGACCAGCTGCAATGTAGTCGCTTTGTCCGGCCTGCCCATCCTCAGTGGTTTCAGCATCAGAGGTCCTGCTCTCCCCATGCCAGGAGCAGCCAACTACGATGCTGCCACGGGCCTCAGCCCCCAGTCCTTCATCACACTGGGCTAGCAGCTATTCACTGGGACCATCTCTCACCTTCAGCCGCTGGCCAAGAGATTGTTCCAGGTCTCCACTGCCAACCTGGGACCGGGAGATGTACTGCTTGCTCCCTACCACAGGCAAGGAGAGGAGGAAGTACCAGTGAACTGGTGGATCCATCAGTGGGAGGTTCCAGCTTCCAGCCAGAGTTCTGCAGCACCCATTCATTCGTTCGTTCGTTCGTTCGAATCTTGTCTGTACCGTCCTCTAACCAAGAGTCTCAGAATGGTCTTACAATAAAAGGAGGTAAAGCACCGCATTGGAGAGTAAAGCAAAGCATCAATCTTGCCTCTTCAGTCTTGAAAGGAATCCCATCCTTGCTCTTCATGGCAAATAGCAATACTAAAAAATCTATGACTGCTACTGGGAAAAGCATTTGTGTTTTGCTGTCCCTGGGAAAGTAGTGGAGAAAGCAAATGGCTAAGCTGTCAATTCCGAGGCACCCCTTTTCAGGTCTGTATCCTCCCCACTCCCTAATACTTGGATTTAATGAAAATATGGGAAGTAAAACCCCGACAGTGCACTTTAAAGTAATATGAAATTGGTCCCTGGTACAGTAATAGTTCTACGCAATGACCTGGGAGAACTTCCCACTGAACTTCTGAATGGGTAAGATTGCAATGTTATCTGGAAGCTCCATTGAACTTGCATGTTCCTCTCTTCCTCTCCATTTATCCTCACAACAACCCTGCAAGGTATGCCAGGCTGAGTCAGTGACTGGCCCACAGTCACACAGTGGGCCTCAAGGCCAAATGGAGGCTTGAAGCAACAGTGCACACCACACCACTACTGGAAGTGCCACTGAACTCAGAAGTGCCCCCCACTCACGAGGAAACACCTCTTACGCTGAGGCCGAACCAGGCACTTCACTGCAGCTGAGCAGTGACCTCGTCCATTCATGCACCGCAATACGTAATATAAGCAGCCCTGATATGTGGGTTTGTCATTGTAAATATGATACGGACCGAGCAAATCATCACCGATTTGTGCGGCAGCTTTTGCGCTGTCCAGGCTAGATGGGCTCTTCCTTCCTTTGGGAGGAAGCCTGTAATAAGTAACTTGGAGACATTGCTGAGGGTCCACCTGGTGGATTTGGGATCGACCTCAGGGCTGCATCAGATCTTTGTTTCGTGCAGCCTTGATTACGTTTACCGAGGCCACTTGCGCTTGTTACTTTTCCGTCCCACCTTGTGCCCTCTAAGGAGCCTGGAATGGTGTCTGTTCTCCTCCTCCTCATTTTATTGCCACAACGGCCCTGCGAGGTAGGTTTGGCTGAGTCAGTAACTGCCCCAAAGTAACCCGGGGGCTTTCTATCTGAGTCCTAGTTGAACAGGTGTTTTTTCTATTATGTACACGATCCTGTTTTTATCTTTGTAAACTGTTCAGACAGCCACAGCTATATAGAAATGAAATTCAAATGAAATAAATGTGTGGGGAGAGATAAAAGATTATATATATTTCCATCCAGCCTCTTCCCTTCAAGGACTCAAGGTGGTTTGCTTAATCTTCCTCCTCCTCTCCATTTTAACCTCATAACAAACCTGCAAGGTCTCTCTGGGAGCGTCTATTATTTATTTTCATTTTTCTACAGTACATTTTCGACGTGCTGCTCCATAGCTAGGCACATTCTAGGGTGGAGAAAACTGCAAAAGCCAAACAAAGGGCTAAAAGCAGCACCTGAAAAACTGGAGGCTTTTAAAATCGTGGCTGGGGCAGCCACGAAGGCTCCCTGCAAAGAACGGTCTTCAGCAGGTGCCAAGCTCAGCCAGAGCCGGCTGGATGACAGGACAGCGGCGGGCTGGGAATTCCGCAGGGATGGGGCTGCGGGACTGGGAGCGACCCCCTCGATGGCCTCCAGTCAAGCCATGGCTTGATCTACCAAAGAAACATTTTCCGACGGCCTCAGTCAAAGGCCATGGGAAAAGATGCTCTCTCGGCGTCATGGCCGAGCCTGGGTATCCCCGTCCCCACCGCGCACCACTACCCCACAGTGGCTCTCAGGGTGTCTGTTTCCGACGGGGGCCCACCCTACCTCGAGAAATAACCGGGCAAAGGACGGGCGCTTTGCAGTGCAAGGCTGCTCAGAAGCGCATCCGCTCGTGCTTTCGAGGGGACCGACTCCCTAGGAAGGAAAGTCGGCGCAGAGTCCGCCTTCCCGCTCGCAGCGCAGCGCAGCGCGGTCCGACGCGCGGAGAAACGGGCTCTCGTGCCGCGCAGCATCCTCGCGCCCGGCGAGCGCCGTCGAGGAGAGGGCGAGCGCGACCCAGCGGGGCTCGGACTGGGGCGAAGGCGGGCAACGGGTCGGGGTGAGGGCGCCGCGGCCTCCCCCCCCCCCCCCCGCCGCATAAGCTCCCCGGCCATCCAAGTTTGCCTTTGCACTCTCCTCCTCCCAGGGGCAGCGCAGCCGGAACGGGGGAGCGCGCCACACGGCGCCTCTCCCGGAGCAGGCGCGCCCCCACCGCCTCCATCCCGGCGATCGGGGAAAGGAAACGGGCGGGAAAGGGGCTGGCGCCCCCCCGCGCCGGCCCGACCCCTACCCCCTCGCAGGTACCCATCCCGGCCGCGGGCCGGGCGGGGGGCGGTGGGCGCGGCGGCCCGGCGCTCCGCCCGGCGCGTCCCCCTCGGCGCAGGAGCCAGTGGCTGGCGGCTGCCCGGCGCCCCGACGCCGCGCATTGGCCGCTGCCCGCTGCCGCTCAGCGCGCTTCCCCGCCCCGCCGCTGGGTAGGGGAGGCGGTGCGCGAGCGGCGGCTTCGTGGGAGCGCGGGCGGGGTGCGCGCGGTGCCCCATCCTCCTGCATCCCTGCGCCCGCGCCCTCGCTCTCCCCCGCGCCGCGCCGCGCCGCCGCGCCTTTCCTCGCGGAGCGCAAACAGTTGGGCGGAAAAAGTGGAGCCGGCGAGGTTAGATGCTGCTCCCGCCGCCGCCGCCGCCGCGGATCCGAGCGCCCGGGGCGGAGTAGAGAGCATGGCCGTGTCGTCGCCCCCGGTCCTTCCGGCAACTTCCAGCGGCGGCACCGGCGGCGGCGGCGGTGGGAGCGCGGGGTGCTTGTTCCGAGGGGACCCGCTCTACTCGTCCAGCCCGTCCGAGTCGCCTCGCCTGAGCGGCAGCCTCATCCACGGCTTCATCGCCAGTGCGGCCGGCGGCGGCGGCGGCAGCCTGGGCGGCAGTGCCGGGGCAGGAGCCGCCGGAGGAGGGGCGGGCGGCGGCGGCTGTGGCGGCGGAGGAGGAGCAGGCGGCGGCGGCGGCGGCGGCGGGAACGAGTGCAAGATGGTCGACCTGCACGGGGTCAAGGTGGCGTCGTTCCTGGTGGAGGGGCAGGAGCTGATCTGCCTGCCGCAGGTCTTCGACCTCTTCCTCAAGCACCTGGTCGGGGGGCTGCACACGGTCTACACCAAGCTCAAGCGGCTCGACATCGCGCCCGTCGTGTGCACGGTGGAGCAAGTGCGCATCTTGCGCGGGCTGGGCGCCATCCAGCCGGGCGTCAATCGCTGCAAACTCATCACGCGGAAGGACTTTGAAACTTTGTACAACGATTGTACCAATGCCAGGTGAGCGAGCGGGCGAGCGAGCGGGCGAGCTCGGGAGTGCACGCGGTGCGCGCGCGCGCACGTGTGAACAAGGCACCCTCCGGGCCTCGCCTCGCCTCGCCTCCCCAGAGCGGTGCCATCCCGAGCGGGCTCGTTTGGGTGCAGCGCTGCTTTCTGGGGTTGGCCTTCCGTTGGGATGCTCGGGCCAGGTCTCAGATAGGCTTGGCTGGTTGCGTGCCTGTTTGTGGATGGGGTTTGCGATCCCGTGCCCTGGACTTGTCCCGAGTCCCGTCGCGTTTCAGCTGTTTGAAAATAAAAGAAAGGTGCATTTTAATTTTGAAAGAAGCCCGGCATGAACGGCAGTGGGAGAGTCTGTGGAAGGCAAGGGGGTTCCCAAGTGGAACCTGCTTGGAGGACTGCAGGGAAGAAAGTTTGCTTGAAACAAAAAATCCACCCCGTGTGAGGTAGAAACAGGTTTCTGGTTAGTCAGACTTTCAGCTCAAGCTGCTTGGGCTTGAAAAGTTATCTGGGAAAGGACTGGCTGCTCTGGAAAGAAAAGTCCGCTGGAATTGACTTAGTCGAGGAAATGTGATTGGCATTAGTGGGCTGGGCTGAAGGAAACTTAAGTAATTGAAGGTTAGGGGTAATGTAAGCAAAGGGAAGTCTGTATTTAGCGTCTTGGAGAGTAAGGTGCAACTTTTTCTACAAACGGTACTTGGAAGTTAAGTTCAGTGAAATTATAAATGGAGTTTATGGCGAGGAAGCATCTAAGACTGTACTTGTAGGGAAACTTTCTTCAGAGTGGGGTCTATTGAAATTGCTGCAAAATACATCAACTGTTAGGCTTGTAAGCAGAGGTGGATCCAAGAAACATTTAAACCGTGTGCCCCATCATGTGATACTGGCTATTCAGATCTTACCTGCAAGTGGGGGGGGGGGGGTGTACCAGGATGTCAGGCCAATTTGCACAACATGGCATACACTTGGCATATTTTTAGACTTTTGTGGTGAATATTTTAGTAAAAACTTTATAGCGTTTTCTCTTTGTCCTGTGCGAAACAATACTGGTTTTGTTATAGTAGGAAAAATGGTCAAGGGAACATACTCCTCATTAGGGCACGGGTTTGTTGATTTCCAGATGCATTCGGGAGAGCAGTGTTTAATTGCAGCTGCCTTTCCAACTGAGGGTCACTGTTTGAAATCAGTGGGGATTATACATTTTAGGAGCAGAGAATCCATTATGGAGGAGCCAGTGAAAATGAAAGCCTTGGAGCGTACTTCTAGATAAAAGTACACTTTTTGTGAAGACACAATTCTTTAACGGCCCAGTTCTTTGCATGCCTGTTCCGAAGCACCCAAAAACTTCTGGAAGGACTTGTGTTCAGGAGAACTAACTCTAGGTAAATCTTACTGTTTTGGTTATCTCCCTGTTGGATGTGATACTGTGTAGCTTCCTTTTGCTTTCCCCAAAAGTTTGTGATCAGTGTTTCCACTGCCTTCCTTAGTTTGTGTGTAAATCAAGCAATTTCACTGGATTCCTCCCACTTCTGTGTTCTGTGTGTTATGCCTGTCGAACCGCCACCCAGCCAGAAAATAAACAACAACCTTATTGGTATATAAGCTTAAAAATCTTGGAGGGGGGATGCTTGAGTCTAGCTTAATGGGCCACGTCCATGGGTGGTGGTAAGATCTGGCAGGTTAGTGAGCAATTTGAAATTACTGTTGTAGAACAGTACTAAGTGCGCACCATATGCATTGCACGTGAGAACCTGGACATGGTTCAAAGCAGGTTGGTGCGGGAAACCTGGATGCGCTTTGAGGGTGCTGCTACCAGTCATGGAAGTCTTAAGATGAGATTTATTGGACCAGCCCTTCCTGTGTTAGACCCCCATATGGTTGCTTTGAATCATTGACCCTAAACCTTGGAAGCTGAATGGGCTGCTGTCCTCATTAGGATGCTCTTTGCCTACGGGGAGTTGCAGCTGAATGAGATTATGCAAAGCAGACAGAGAAGTGTGTCCCAACTTTTCCTAACAGTGACTCTAATATACAGGAGTTTGTTCAGAAAGTAAAACCTTTTGAGATTTTCCTGTTAGGGATTATCGAGTCCACTTGCCCAAAGAAGAACAAGGATCACAGCTCCGGTCAATGATAAGAGAACTGTATTTTAAAATGTGCGTAGAAATAAACAAGACTGGTAATCTTTTCTGCGATCATTAATGTATCAAAAAGAATATATTGGTTTTGCATTCAAACACCCAAACTGATGTGCTGCTTTTATTCTAGATGGAAAGAAGTTCCCAGTTAGACCCTTCCCCCCCCCCCCCCTTTCTCAGGGAAATGTATCCATTTACCATCTCTTTGCTTGTTGTGGGTTGGGAATTTAAATTGTGAGTAAATTGTGTTGCAAATGAGGAAAAATTGACAAGAAGGTACTGTGTGATAGAAACCCAACACGCTAGGAGAGTTTATAGCCTATCTGTTGCTTATTGTAATTGTAGGTGCTTGTGATAGTTGGCACAATTAGGTGTCATGTTGATTGTATCCTCCATCTCCTTTGGAACTGCTCAAATCGTGGTAGTCCTTGAGATTGCTAATACCTTCTCTATATTTTAGGGTGCTGCATTCTGTACTTTATAAATGCTGACTTTTAAACATGAGCATTAGCAAAAACTGTCCAGATGTGTCCATACAAAAGCAAACAATGTGATGGGTTCGTGTCTAAAAACTGAGACTGTTTGATGATTTGGACTGTCTGTTTTTCTTTCTCATTCTCTCTCTGTCTTTCTCCGTATTTGCATTTAAAAGCTATTATACTTTTGCAAATAAGCAAAGCAAGTAAGACTGTGTGTGTGCGTGTGTTAGAAAACCATATGTCAGTTTGATTGGGTCTGCTGTGACTCATTGTCAGGCAAATGTGTTGCAACTCTTTTTACACACTTGCAAGTCAGACAGTGTTGCCTGTTATTCCTTAGAATTGCTTGACTGAAAGTGTTGATCTTATATATAAAGAAGAACCCAAATGACCTGCTTTAACTGCCAGCTGAAGCAATAAAATGGCTTTCAGTTTTTTATTTCCACATGTTAATTGTTGATTTGGTAACAGGTAGAATTTTGGAGTTCTTTGTCGCTGTTAATTCTTAGGCAAGATGGGAACAGATTGCTTAGAAGCTCACATCGTGTCACAGATGCGTATAGAATTTAGCTTTAATTTGGCGCATGAAGTCAAATGTATCTCTGCTTTTGAACGAAGTAAAATTAAAATCATGTGGGACCACGATCCAAAGAATTGTGTAATGATCCAGGTAGGTGCCCTTGAGTGCTTCCCTTGAAACTTCTATTGAAATTGAGATGACTTTAAAAAGCAGTTGGTAACAATGCGAGGCAGGGTTTCTGTTTTTGAAATAAAAAGTGCAGTACAGTTCCACCAGATGGAATTGGGCAAAACCCAGTGATTATTGTTTCTGGTACCAGAGAAGTTGAGTGGGAAATTAATTTTTCCCTGTGCGTTTAACAACCCAATTAATTATGCTGATGGTAACAATACACAACTTCACAGAAACCAATGGAAGTTGTCACAAGTGACAATTTGGTGCTGCCAACTGGGTGCTGTGTTGCCCAGTTTAATAAAGTGTTAAGACATTGAATCATAGAAGGTATTTGGAGATAAAGAGCCATGGACAAAATTCAGCTGGGGGAAGGTATGAAATTGAGTGCAAGAGCAGAGAAATCCAGTTGAGTATCCAAAAAATATGATAAATTTTCACCAGCTGAGAGGTCCAAACCATGAGAGGTAGATTAGCAGAGTGTATCTAGCAAAACCAAAAAGCCGTATAGGAAAAAGCAGGCAACTGTTATCTGTGTCTTAAGCTGTATCATACGTACTTATCTAAGAGTAAAGCCCACTGAATTTGGTGGGACTTAGTTTTGCATGGACATACACAATTCACTTCTGTATTTAGTAACTCTCTGGGCATTTACCATGCAGTTGTGTACATGAGTGTTCAGAAATAAGTTCTGCTAGGTCTTTGGGGCTTACTTCCAGGCTATAAGATTGCAGCTTTAGTTACTTTTTTGTGCTTATAGTTACCAATGTTTGCAAAACAACCCCTGCATCCTTGAAAATTCAAACTAAACTGCCACGTTTTTATCATATTAATCATCTTTAAAGATGTTTACTTTGCCTTTAACACAGCTACCAGATGAAAAGATTCTACTTATAAAAACAAGTCGATTCAGAATTTTGGCTCCAAAAATGTGTTGCTGGATGTAGAATGTGGCATGTATGCACTCAAACTCCTTCTTCCTTATGTCAACATCTCCTAATTAGTTTTGTGCATGTGAGATGAATTAAACAGTGTCCTTTCACATGGTAACCCAACAATAGTTGTATTTCTGCACCTGGAATGTGAAATTATCAAGGGACTATGATTTCTTTGTGTGGCTGGGATAAATTTTTGCAAATGTATTGTTCCAAAAATATTGCACAGTCATTATACCCTGTCATCCTGGATTTCTTTTTTGTTAGAGCATAAGGTAATAATGGAGGTCTTAAAACTGCTCTGATTTAATGTCAACTCCAGTAGTGACCTAAGTTCCTGTTCCTTGTAGCAGGATAAAATCTCAAAGAAAAACAACAACCCAGCAAAAGCCTCTGCTAAGCTGAGAAGAAACTTTTGTTTTTCTGTCATTTTGGCTGTGTGTATTTTTTAAACCAGATTTGGCTACTGAGTTTGTGGAAAACAATGGAAAATGTGTCTTTTTATGCAGGCCCAAAATGTGCTTGAAATACACGAGGTTTGCATTGTTGTAATTTGCTGGGATTTCAGAAATGTGCAGTGCACACAGCTTTTGGGGTGGCAAGAGTAACAATGTTTTGTGTATGTGTGTGTGTTTGCTTATATTTATATATAGCAGAGTGATCTTGAATTCAGCCAGGCATGTGTTGTTTGTATGGTTGTTGTATCAGTGATACATATGGATAAATATTGGGTGTTCACGCCTATAATGTGGCTATGTTC